GTTCGATGACCCCTATTTTTCTTTTGATGGATCATTTTCTCTACTGATTTTCTACATTTATTGAAAAAATGAAGAAAATCTATCCATTAGAAGTTTGACTTTTTTGCAACATGCACTACTGAATTCCATTCTTTTTAGCTCTTTTAGCTCAAAATCAGGGTAGTTTTTTACATGCTTTATTATCATGGCTGCCAATTTTTTTTCATTTCTGATACAAGGAACTCATTATCTGACTGCAGTAAAAATCTTAAAAAATCTATTGACTGGAAAATTTTTGTGCACATGTCCTTGTTTTCTTAGGGGGACAGTAACAGCATTGAAAAAGGTATGGAATATTGGGAGTATATTCTACAAGTAATTCTCGTGCTGCTGACATTTGCCCCCACCCCCGGCAGAATTATCCCTCCCCACTTCCCCAGGAAGTGATTACTGTAATGCTGTCCAACTTCTCACCACTGAGAATAAAGTACTTTTAAACTGAACCAGTTCAGCTAGTTAAGCAGAAGTCAGGCAGTTATGAGAATTCTTACATCCACCCAGAGCTAAAAAGCTTTTATAAATAATACATAAGTGTATAATACCTTGTCTTTTATACTCTCCTTGTTATAGTCAATTGTAGCTGAGGCTCCCATACTTGTAACAACATCAAGTTTGTCCTTGCTTGCAGCTCCGATAACCTCAAAGAGAACAACACTTTTCATGAGTAGATTGTAATCAATGTCTGGGCTCAGACTGCCTATGAAAAGGGATCTCTTCATGCACTCTGAACTGTGACTGTGACTCCTCAATCTACAGTAATACGTCCTTCCCATTACACCAGCCATACCTGTCACAATTTTTCTTTGTCAAAAGTTTGATAGACCAGGAAACAAATGAAGAACCATCAGCTGATGATTGTTTTGTGTTCCCATGGCATCTTCGAAAATTTTACAACAGAATAATGCAAGGGAAAGATTAATTAATTTTTAGCTTTTAGTGAGGGTCATCTCCACCTTACATACATGTACCTTGGCTCCCAGTGCATTGGCTGCGATGTCAACAGTGGCTAAGCCCAGAGCTCCTGCTGCCGCTGTGACTAAAACTGTTTGGCTAGAATGATAACAAAAAATTACAATATTATTCTTTTCACAGAAAACAAGTGAAAAAAAAACTCTTTTCAACAGGAGCTACAAATTAAAACTTGATAACCAAATAATCATTTTGTGGTTGGTTTCAAAATACAGTGAAATCTTTATTTTTCAAACCTACAAGGGAAACAAAAATTGGTTAAAAAATCAACTCAGACAAGTAGTTTGAGAAATCTGGGGTAAACTATTATTACAGAGTTTGACCGAGGAGAGGAAAGCTACTTTGGTTTGAGTTATCTGGAGTTTCAAAAAAATCAAGAGTTTGAGAAATCGGAATTCCACTGTAGCTTAAACCAACCATGTTTACCCAGGCTGTGTATTGGACTTGTTGGTCAGGCCTACATATGCTGTGCCATAAGAAACTGCAAATGCAGAAGCCTGATTGTACTCGATATTGGACGGAATCTTCCACAGACCCTGTAGACAACAAAAAGTCATTGTCATTAAACTAACACACAAAGAAAAGGCCATAACATTCTGATTTGTTTCCTATACAGATCAAAAGGTTTTATAGAGACTGCTAAGATGGACTGTCTTAAAGCACAAAAAAGTCTAAAACCTCCCTGTTGTATTTGAGAGAATGAACTTGCTTAATTGTCAGCTAAAGTTAAAACATGGTCATTGTACCTGGACTAGTGGGGGAGTTCTATTGCACAAAAATTCTCATCATAATAATTTCAGAACTCACACTCTGTTCAACAATGCATTCTTCAGCAAATCCACCCAGTGCTGCCAGTCCAAATACCCTGTCACCCTGCCAGGAAATCCAAACCAAGAAATGTTACCCCTTTGTTATAGTACAAAGTCAACACTTTAGTCAAAGTAGTCCACATTGAAATTTTCATTTCATAACATGAGAAGGCTCCACCTGGATGGGATGCTCGTATATAACACAGGTCACTCTGGCAACTGGCCTTAGTTACATCTCTGTGAACCATACTGTTAGGTATCCATTTTGGGGTATGGAAGGTGTTTTTGCTAATATTGTAATCACCTTCGACAGCTGCTTTACACCTTCTCCAGTTTCAATCACTACTCCAGCAATTTCGTTACCTACAAACACAGGCAAAACAAATTAAAAAATAGACCTAGCTAGGGAAACAGACAGACAGGGAGAAATGATATATGTCCACAAAGAGACACATTTTCCTCTTTTTCTGGCTAATACTTGCCTGGAGTAAATGGCAATGGTGGTTTTTCTTGATATTTTCCAAGACACATGAGTATGTCAGCAAAGTTAATGCCGCAACTATGAACAGCAACTCTGACCTAAGGTAAGGTAAGGTGATGTTTATTATCTATTAATTTTTTTTTTTTTTTTTTTTTT